TCAACAAAGTCAATACTGTCATCCGTCTTGAGACACGAGTTTTAGGTCTCAGTTTTTTTAACACTACACCGGCTGCCCCACCTTTCAAATCGAAACGCATTTACTGCTTTACGGCAGAAATAGGCAGGGTGGGGTACCTACCCGTGCGGGCTTACAATATACCCTACCACCAGTAAAGTAATGCATATTGACTTCTATGATTGTTGTGTGTTGTGTTGTGTTGTGCGTGAAAATTATCGTTATGTTTATAAAGATTATGTCAAAATCAGAATAATTTTACTATTACATTGATTGAATGTTCCGATTGCCTTTCACAAGTCCAATCTAGTAAGCTTGTTACTATGGAAGAATACAAATAATATCACAGCTATTTGTGTAACAATCTTCCTTATTCTTATTCAAGTTATCATCTAACGTTATTATTTACATTAAATTTACAAAAAATTGCTACCAAACTTCCATATCACGTTCATTAGATATTTTTGAAGCAAAACTGTTGTGTTATATGGGCTGAGTAGTTGAATTCTTACGGCATAATTCTGTGTTTTTTGTAGGACATATTCGTTTTCATAATTTTTGGCATTACATATTTATTACGTCATTATGTATTACTTATTATTTGTCATATTCATGGTGTATTTTATCGTCAGCCGTCGCTGTTTGATCTTAAGAAAATAACATTACAGTAGCTATTTCTCGATTTTCAATGTAAAATCTAGAATTAGTGTCCCGTGAGAATTATGTAAGTGTCAAGTTATAATTTTTGCTGCTGAAATAATTATCAGTTTTTATTTTTCGTAAATATTTTTGCATAATATTCTGTTTTCAATGAGCTTAGTGGAGTCGAATAAACAGTCTGGCTTGCACAGTGTATGTTGTAGGCGATCATAATGAATTCACATTCATCGAAATATGTTTGGAAACTCCAAAAAGTCTTGTTTTTTTTTTTAATATTTTATATTAGTCGAATTTTCGGGTATATACAGATGTTTGAAATGAGAACGAGTATTTTTATCAATTTTTCATTATGAATTTTACTTACGTAAATTTTATACGTTATGATCTTAATCCTAATATCAACATTAGCCTAGTAGAGAGCAATGGTTTAATAATAGTATTTTACAAAAAGCAGCTGAATACATTTTCGTTAACAAAATACCACTGATGCGTATGACAATAGCGTATTTTCTCAACAATCAGTTGGAAGGAGATGAACATAGTATCGCTCGGATCAGTGTATCTGGTATACTTACTACTAATAAACGTATGCTTCTTTACTTGGTTTTTAATTCAACTGCAAAATTAGCTATGTAATTACATGTATAAATCTATTTGTATTCATAAAACACATCAGTTTCTATAACTATATCTACACAAACGTGATGTCGATGCTCTTATTAGCTAATAATAATCGATATTTCGGACATTGAATCGTTATAAAACTATGTGTAAACGCGAATAACTATAATTATATCCTTTAATAAATACACAATAAATTACTAAGGAAGACTTCAAAAATTCGACGCTAAATGTTTTTTTTAGCTTAACTTCTTGTTATTTTTGTTATCTTGATGTTAGTGTTTTGATATTTGGACGATTTAATTGCATTAAATGATTGCAAATTTTATGGTTAGGTGACTGATCATTATCTCTGGGTTTATGTGAAGTGAACCTTATTGTCTTTGGTTACTATTGACATTTATACTTTTGTTGGTCTAAAAGTTTTCACATGTTGAATTGAACTATGTATAAGGTTACTTGTCAATGGAAACGGTATGTAATTATGGTAGATACCTAAGAGACCCTTTATGCTCACGGAGGATGTAAACTTGGCTAAGCCATATAATAATGTTCGTACTTTAAACAGAATGATTCTGGGAGTAATTATTTTTACGAGTCTGTAATTAGCTTCTTGTAAAATGTCGGTTATTTTGTATCCGTATTTCACTTGCTTTTCATCAATACGTTTGCTTGGCCAAGTTCATGGTTAAAGAGCAGTGTACAGTGCCACTATTGAAGTGGTTTAAAACACAGCAGCTGTGGATGTTAAATTTGGTTTATTTACCTCATTGATTTGGCCAACCAAAAGAACTGAGCGTGATATCCCATACAAGGATGGTCGTAGTCTTTAGATACAAAATTTTTTTAGTATTTGCCTTATTACTTGTTTAAGGGCGTGGTTAGTTAAACCAGCTAATGAAATAATCTCAATTTAATTGACTGTGTTGGCTATTTTGGCAAATGTTTGTTGCTAAGTAAACCAATTTAAATAATTACAACCAAAACGATTCTATTTCAAGAGGTTTCCGCGAATCAGGAATTTCGAAAGGGAATCTTATCATCTGTTCTATCATATCTTATCATATCTTAATTACCTAGTTCGATCCGGTTCACGTGAATTCTCATCCATATATCAGAACAATGACATTTTCAGTTTCGTGGAAATAAAATAATCATTAAAATTATGATCATAAAAACGAAACTCTTCATTTTCTAGCTTCACTATTGTAGACTTATTATTGCGATCTGTTTTGCATAACTAATTTAAATATATATTTCATCGTGACTTGGCCTGATCGAGATGACGGTGACTTTAAGCTTAGCTTTATAGCAGCACAAATGCATCCAGAAAACAATTACATTTATTTTATACTAAGGATTTTCTAAACTACAGTTTTTGTTATTTTCTTCTTTGTTTTTTTTATAAAATCTACAGTCATATTTCAGACACATCATCGCTCGCCTAATATTATTCACAGCTTTAGCCTGTGCTCTTTGATTGCTTATAAATATTTAGTATGAGACTACAGTGATTCGTAAACTGTATTTTTTAATGCGTATTTTACAAAGATGGAAATATATTATTATTTTTTAGTTTCTTTTGTAAGCGTATGTGGTAATCTGTACATTTTTATCTTTGCTAGATTTTTAATTCCAATTTTTTATTTTATTTGTAGCCACTTCTAATTACGAACAATATGGAGAAATCGACTATAAAATGCCATTCGCTTGCTTATTTCTATGGACTACGATATTTTCAAAAATAAGCTGGATAATACACGTTTACTAATCACTGTAACTTTAAACCTATATACTAATAATAATAACCTAACTTATCTATTTGACTAGAACAGCTTCGAGTTCAGAACTCTTCTAAGTAAATCTCTGGCGATAGTACTAGAAAAAAAAATGGCGACTTTTGTAGGTCCACGCTTACTTTTATCGTTTTTTTTTATATTTACAGATTCGTACTTAACTTACACTTAATATTATTAACTATGTAGTAGAAGACAGAGAATAGACAGACAAGAAGAAGATAGAAAGAGACAAAAATACTAATTATTAAGATTAATATATATATTTTTTTGGTTTCATGGGTAAACGAGTTCACGGCATCTTAAATTGATACCGGAGCTCGTAGACATTACACCCCACCTTCAGACATGAGGTCAAAGTCTCGATTGTATTGGATAACGGCTATCCCACCCTTCGAGCCGGAGCGCATTACTGTTTCGCGGCTAAAATTGGTGGGATGGTGGTACCTACCCGTGCGGACTTACAATACGCCCTCCCACCAGTAATCAAGCAAATTAATAATTTTCGCCGGTTTGATTTTTGTTCCATGATTTTTTACGTTTCGCCCACAGTGACTTTAGATATATCGCACATATGGTGCTATAAAGCCTCTTATGAAATTTTTGTTAAAACTGAACTGAGTAAGAGAAAATATATTTTTTTAATAGTTATCAGTGAGACGTTTGCTTTTACTGATGAAGCTTAAATATTATCGTTTTTATTTATTTAGTATAGCAAAACTATATAAGAACTATATAATATAATAAGCTGTTGAATTTTCCAATGATTCTCCTGAAAAATTACATAATTTCCATAAGTGACGTTATCGCACCGTATATATCGCACCCATATCGCATGGGTTTTAAGTTGGATTACTTTAAAGGTTGTGTTTTAAATGCAGTATCAAAATTTATAAACGTTATGCTCGAAGACGGTACGCGCAATTTATTATTTTCCAGTCAATGCTGCGGTTTATTTTAATTTTAATTCCTATATATACTCATAGTAGTTGCGATAAAACTTCATCAATAATATTTAATTGTGTTTTACAACGTTTTCATTTATGCACGATCGGATTTAATCGGTGGTGATTTGGATACTAATTTTTTTGCAAAGAATATTTCTTTTTTTTTATTGTGTTTACGGGTGTACACGCTTATGGCTCAGCTGGTCTTGAGTGATTACCGGAGCGCATAGATACGATATCTTTGTCTCAAATTTATAACGGCATAGTGTTGACAAACCGTTCAAATCTGTCTCTATTATCAGATTACAACAGAATCGGCATTGCCGGAGCAGTGTGGGAGTTTAGTTGGTTTTACTCGCATGTACACATCGCCCCCAGAACTATCTCCTTAATAAACCAACTTGGATGGGTTTTTAATCTTTAGAACCGATCCCTCATTGCTCATTCCGATGCCTTCTGTGTGGGTGATTACTTAATGCACTTATCTCTAACTCGCTCCGTATAGCTTCAGAGATGTAAAAATTTTACTTAAACTTTTTATAAGGTATTTTGTATTTAGTGCAATAATAATTAAGTGTTATGTGTCATTATCATTCGTGCGACTGTTTAATTATGTTCCGAAAAAAATATTCATTAACGAGAACAATATTCAAAAAGTATGCTATAAAATAGAAATGTTCATTGCAATATTTTTCTGTGAATATTAAATAGAACTTAATGTTACGAAATATAATAAATACAGTTATCATGAATAATATTTGACATAGATATAGGATTAATTTCCAAAGATATTTCAGGTTTTTTTTTAATACATGTTCTATATTGTTTTTAATTGTTTGGTTTACTCATAATAGCTTTAAAAGTAAATTTCCTTAGAAGGTACAATTTTTGTTAACGCAGCTTATGAAAAATTTACATATTGTGTATTAGTATATAGTTGATATTGTTTTTCATTCATGCAGTATGGTGCCCATTAAACCGATCGAAATAGTCATAAATAATAATATTATATTGAGAAATTATATTCGGAAAGCTGGTCAGACGACCTAACAATCAATATATAATAGGAGGTTACGGTTCAATGTTAAAATCACAAACTGAACACTACTTATCTTAAGACATGAGATCGGAGTCTGGATTGTTTTAAAGCACGCGGTTTTTCCCTTTAAATTTTCAAACACAGTTCACGGAGTTTCCTGTCGGGTCATTTCAGTTGGTCGCCATTCCCATCCAGTGTTAGATGCAGCGGAATATTGCTCTTGATATGGCAGATGTTATCAAACTCTGTTAGGCTGAGCTACGTGAGATTACTCTATCGGCATGAAGGTTCGAGGCTTATTGTGTCGGTCATATTTTTTAAAACTTTCTGATTTATTTATTTGACGGTAGTTAGAAAAAAGCCATTACATAAATAGTAGATATCTTCATATTTTGCGCATTAAACAGTTTGCTGATACTGAAGCATTTTTCATTATATATGAGGTTGTTACAGAGGTTCACTATAAGATGACGAATACACCTAACTACAAGTACGAAATACATAAAATCACATCGAATAGACACTAACTATTACACTTATGAATAAACGTACTAGTACATGCTAACATCGAAACCCTTTTTGGCTGCAATCGGCAAGCGTTCGCCCATTAAGTAAGGGTTTTCCATCTGTAAACGAATTAGTTCAGATACGGGGATAAGTTGAAGAATATCTGTTAGAGCATTACAGTTTTAGGCCAACTTTAAATACAAGATGGCGAATACAAGATCCGTCGTTAAATGGTTACTGAAGTCACTTTGTGATGTCTACAAAGTAAATGCTGCTAACTACCTTGAGAGATAAGGTCGAATTTTGAATGGTTTTGTTCTAGGGCTGTCTACGAATCGAAACAATCTTTTTATTTTTATTGCCTAGATGTGTGAACGAGCTCACAGCCCACCTGGTGTTAAGTGATTACTGGAGCTTATAGACATTTACAACGTAAATGCGCCACCCACCTTGAGATACAAGTTCTAAGGTCTCAAGTGTAGCTACAACGGCTGCCCCACCCTTCAAACCGAAACCCATTACTGCTTCACGGCAGAAGTAGACATTCTACACGATATCATCCCTTCTATATGAAAGTCGCTCGTTAGAATGGTACTTTTTACTTAAAGAGATTTGTATCTGCCAGATTTTATCAGCTAGAGCTACAGCTACAAAAATTGTAACTTTATATATATTGTTTTCAATGTCTGTTTTAAGTAAACGAAACCTAAATTCTAATTACATTATCCAATTAAATCCCAATGAAAAAATATTTGGTAGCGCTCCCATTCTGATGTGTCATCATCATCATCATCATCTCAGCCTGTCTACTGTCCACTGCTGAACATAGGCCTCTCCAACTGATGTCCAGTGCGGCCAGTCCGTTGCCACCTGCATCCAACGTGAACGTGACGTGTGATTACGAGACATTTGATATCCTTTTTTTTTCTGTTTTTATTGCCTTTGTAGGCAGACGAGCATACGGCCCACCTGATGGTAAGTGGTCACCGCCGCTCATGGACGTCAGCAATGCCAGGGGCAGAGCCAAGCCGCTGCCTACCATTATCCTCAGCTTTGAGCTTATAATCAAATTAGCAAAGTACTCACGTCAGGCTTGTACTTCTTGGCGACGAGGTTCTTGTGGTGCTCGGGGAAACGCAAGTCAATATCTGAAGTTGAGTCGGATGGGCAGCTGAACATATGCTCTCCATCACACATGCAGCGCTGAGACAGCTGGTACTCGCGACTGAAGGCGGCCGTGTTCTCGAACTCGCTGATGCAGCCCTGGTCTTCTGCACGACCGAAAATAGGCTCAATGTAAGGCGCTGGTTTGTCATCCGTCTAATCCAAGAGATAATTCGTAAAGTCTTTTAATTATATATTATAATTTGCGTAATTACTGTTGGTAGGACCTCTTGTGAGTCTGCACGGGTAGGTACCACCACCCCGCCTATTTCTGCCGTGAAGCAGTAATGCGTTTCGGTTTGAAGAGTGGGGGATCCGTTGTACCTTAGAACTTTTATCTCAAAGTGAGTGGCGGCATTTACTTTGTAGATGTCTATGGGCTCCAGTAACCACTTAACATCAGGTGGGCCGTGAGCTCGTCCACCCATCTAAGCAATTTTTTTTTATTAACTATTAACTTTAGTATTTATCACACACTCCATCATACCTGTGTACCCGACGGGGCATGGGTTGGGCGGGTTGCAATACGCGGGCAGAACAGCATCAGTTTTGACCATTTGTCGGTTGGGGACCACGCCCGATGGTCGGAGACGCTGCTCACCCTCGCCAGCACCGCCTGTTACGTACTGATGGCCCCACAACGAACTGAAAATTGTTCTTCGTCAGACCCAGTGTACAATTTCACAATCAAAGAAAATTTTAATGTTTTCACTGAGCCATGTGATTGCAGTCAGCAAATACCATTCAAAAGAAACTTTTTGTGGGACGAACATGGAATTTTGTACAGATAATAATTATGTGGATGTTTTTTATTTATTTATTTTTTATTGCTTAGATGGGGTACGAGCTCGCAGCCCACCTGGTGTTAAGTAGCTACTGGAGCCCATAGACATCTACATCATAAATGCGCCACCCACCTTGAGATATAAGTTCGAAGATCTCAAGTATAGTTACAACGGCTGCTCCACCCTTCAAACCGAAACGCATTACTGCTTCACATTAATAAATACGACAGTATGTTCACTAATTCGAGATTTTATATACCATTAGTAGAAACATTAGTTCAAGAAAAAGCAAGGTATTAAATTTTTTCTAGTTAAAAGCTTAACGCGGGTGAAGCTAGAGGGCTAATGTTGTTTTAGAATTTAGACTAAGTCCGCCCCTGTACTTTTGGTGGTGAGCTCTTGCTCTAACCTGTGCTGCAAGTACTCTTGGTCGCGCAGGCTGGGGCTGGGGTTCCCGTCGATCAACGAGTCGTAGTCTAGCTGCTCGTTCTCCAGGTCCTTGCTCGCGTGCGCCATCAGGGCGAGATGGCGGTCGCTGGCCGGGAACTCTAGGTAGCTGGACGCCGCGTCGTTGAAGTCTTTGCCCATACGCTCGACTACTTCACGAAGCAAAGTTTCCGTTATTAAATGATCCTGAAAGTTTTCTTAATATTAATAACTCTTATCTTATTTTGTATTTTCATTCTATTCGATTTTTTTTATTGCTTAGTTGGTTGGACGAGCTCACAGCCGACCTGGTGTTAAGTGGTTACTGGAGCCCATAGACATCTACAACGTAAATGCGCCACCCACCTTGAGATATAAGTTCTAAGATCTCAGTATAGTTACAACGGCTGCCCTACCCTTCCAACCGAAACGTATTACTAGAAATAGGCAGGGTGGTGGTATCTACCCGCACGGCCTCACAAGAGGTCCTACCACCAGTAATTGCCGCTATAGGTTTATTTTAACCCTACCTAATCGCTGGTAGTTTCAAGGCTATTCCATTCACGCAAGGTGTGGTAGGTGGGCTCACGGGGCTCAACGCAAGAGGCCTTGCTAACATTAGCCCTAGCAAGAGTAGCGTTTCACTGAATCTATCACTGGATCGGAATCGTGACCTATGACGAAGATTCGACGAGAAATTCAGCGGGGCTGTGTCTATGGGCTAAGCTGCTCGTCAAACACATCATTAATTTTACAAGTTTGACTAAAACGGTGACCGGTCTTTAGAATGCTTAAAACCAGAGTCAGAATGTACCAGAAGGTACCATTAACGTACAGAAAAAACCTACAATTTCTTGCTTTATATAAGCATTACAATGTGGATAACGTTTAACTAAGCTGGTCAAGCGTTACACGTCTGTAATATTCAATGTTCGCTTCGTCTGAGATTTTGCAAAGAGATTTAGCGATATGACCCACTTCCACATTCAACGCCATTAGGACCGAATATCCTCGTAAATCGAAAATTATCGTTCCTTCTGACGTATCGTGGATTATTTCAGATAACTTTATCTGACTGTAAATATTGAAAGGCTCAATAAAGGAAAAATAATCTCAGAACCTTGTAGTGCTCTCGAAGATTTGATTTTAGTGAAAGAGTAATTAAAAAAAAGTATTGAAACCTGTTTTTTTTTTAAATTTAAACACAATAAACCTTAATCAATTACAGCCGCAATTATTATCGCTTAATACAAGGTGGTAAGCTTCATCGCCATTTTGAATATAAAAAAAAAACATGGCGGCTGCTTGTTATTGCCTCGTAATATAGTAGAAAATTCTAGCTCATAGCCGTTGAATTTCACATTAATTTAATTACTAAAAAATTAAACTGAACTTAAAAATCAACTAAACATCTTTCAGTATTTTAGTGATAATGTAAAAGTTTACAAAACAGTGTTGTCGCGCAAGCCCCCATGCCAACAGCACCGTATTTTATTACTGGGTTTGCGATAAAACAAGATTCTATAGATAAAAGTGTATTCACCTTTGCCCCAATAGAACCATGGGGGATAAAGCCCATGGCTGCGACGGTGTTTATCGCCAAAAGTAGCGTGGCGTACCGGCCCATTACGAAGCTGCGGACAAAGAAAATAACATAATACAATATTCCATAATATAATATAGTATAGATATTTTGAATCAATTTTTCCAGCGTTTAAAGTATACTTAGTAATGGTAATGGTAATGGTAATGTATATTTTAATGCCCCACTTTAGGATGTTCTCAAAGTTCTTCTACATATGCTTCTTCTAATGCAGTTTGAAAAGAGTATTTCGCCCTCAAAGGCAATAAAAGTTAATATCCTTAAAAAATTGTGAAACTTTCAGCTTAGTAGCCGTGCACAGATTGCAATCGACGATCGCAAGAAGTGCAAGAAGATCGACGTACATGCACTGATCTGATATACTTATATAAGATAATTCACTCTCTGTTGGATTCGCCTGAACTGTTATCTCAGATTTCACTAAACATTAAATTTAGTGCTCGGAGGGTCAACCAAAACAATTTGTTTGCATTGCTAATTTACAAAAACAATATATCTTACTATAATCCCATTACCCGAATGTGTCGTACCTATAACGAACTGGCAAGGTCGTCACCTGAGTTAGATATTTTTACTTGTGGGTTAGTTACGTTTAGAAAAATGTTCAAGGGCATCCTCCACTTTATTAATAGGTAGGTTAATGTAATTGTTTAATGTATTATATTGTGAATAATTTTTTTCGCTTACATTATTCGTTAGATTAGTTTTTGTTATTGTGTTGTTTTGTCATAATTGTAAGGAACATTGTTANAAGATTGTGTAGCGCATGTCATAAGATCGAGTGATAGGATATAATCGTCAAAATAGTTTGTGAAAGTGTTATTTTGAATGTTATAAGTATATACGCGCCTCAGTCCGGGTGCAAGGAGGACGTGAAAGAAAAATTTTGGCAGGATTTTGATAGTGTTATGATTCGCATTCCAGAGAGTGAAGAGATTTGTATAGGAGGTGATTTTAATGGACATGTGGGAGCTACAAATGAGGGCTATGAAAGGGTGCATGGAGGAAGAGGGTATGACATGTGATGAGACGAAATGAAAATGAGGTTGGTAAGAGAGTGTTAACTATGAATGTGGAAGGATATAGAGAAAGAGGTAGACCTAAGAAGAAATGGATGGATTGTGTGAAAGATGACATGGGTAAGAGGGGAGTGAGCGAAGAAATGGTATATGATAGAAGAGTATGGAAGGAGAAAACATGTTGCGCCGACCCCAGGTGACTGGGAGAAGGGCAGGATAATGATAATGAATAATGATTACATATAATAATAATAATAATAATAAAGATCATTTATTGCCTTTCACATCATAAAATGAAATACAAAAAAAAGAAAAGCAAAAAAAAGAGAAAAAGGCAAAAGGAGGTGGCTCAGCTATTGCTGTTCAAGGTTGATAAATTGAACAGCGCTGATTTTCAGTCACCCCCGTTTCCCTTTGGTTCTTTGCGGGAATGAAGACTCCGTACGTGTGTACATACTCAGAATATGATATAAATTAGTAAAATTAGTAAATTATAAAAATTTAAGAAAAAACTAAATAAAAATCAAATTAAATGGTGAACCCGAAAACAAAACCAAAAATTTAAGAAAAAAACAAAACAAAAATCGAATTAAATTAAATGGTGAACCCGAATACAAAACATAATAAGCACACAGTAATAACAACCTGTGGGCAGCTTAAAAAAAAAATATAAAAATAAATAAAAATTTAATAAAAGGAAGTTTTCACAAGCTAGGATTAAATTAGTTACTATCGTTTTAATTATTATAATATTGGAATGTTTTTTCGCATAATCGTATAAGGTACAAGTGAACCGTGACATAACATCATTGTCCGATGTTTTTGTTGATAAAAACACACACATAATATTCAATCCCATTGTGAAACGCATGTGGGTGTGGACGGTATCGAGTGATCACGACCGCGGCGGCGCCGTTTGATGAGCTCGAATTTTGAATGTAAATTAATTTGTAATTCAATTATTGTTTTTTTGTTTTTTTTTTTTTGTTTTCGTACGATTCAACGCCACGGATAACAGATTAGATTATAATGAATTGTTCCTTGTTACTAAGCTACGCGAATTTAAGATTGTATGCGATGAAACTTTTTTTCGTAGAAATGATGTAATCAATTCGTGTGATTAGTGATGGCTGTTCTGTAAGTTTATCCGATCCGGTGCACCGAATGGTAAACAGTCGACGTCGCCCTAATCACGTCATTACGGATCCTCCCGATTCATTAACGGTGCTTTTTGGTACCTCAAGCACCGGTCACCGTCCTCAGTGAACTCGTCGCTTGAGACGAAGGGCTTGACGAGTAAATTAACCCAAAGACACAGCCGACTGAGTTTCTCGCCGAATCATCTCAGTGGGTCGCGTTTCCGATCCAGTGGTAGATTCTGCGAAGCACTGTTCTTGCTATGGCCAATGTTAGCAACACTCCCGGTTTGAGCCCCGTGAGCTCACCTACTAGTTCGGTGAATCTAGAATAACCCCTCGAGGCTACTAGAATAGGTAGGAAAAAAAAGTAAGTTTACGTCCTACATTCCATGCATACAATTGGAAAATAGACCTCATGTCTCAATAAATGAGGTAGCATTCACGTTGTGATATCTATTGGCTCCGATAACCACTTAACACCACTGGAAAGTGAGCTCTTAAATATTTTCTATAAATAAAAAATGGTATGTTATAATATATGGACAATGGTTATACAATTATGATTTATAAGAGATAAATTAATAGAAAACTTTTGTTTATGTAATTGCAATTATTATAACCAGTACGTGAAACGTGGGTGAAAGCATATGAAGTATAAATTTAAAAGCATAATAAAATAGGATAAGGACTATACAATGCTTTCCTTCCGTGTTTCTGAGTGGGTAGGTACAAAACGTTCTCTGCTATCGGTGTACTTGAAGTTTACAAATAGGGCTGCGATAATTTCGGATATAAATTCGGATATAAATATACAGAAGTGAAACGATTTCGGGTGTGTATAACTTATAAGCTCTTCTTCTTAGTCGCACCCTTCATTGCTGAAGGTCTTGTCCTTGAAAAGCCTTCGTGGCACTTGGCACAGCCATCTTCCATTTCGTTCGGTTTTATTAGCTTAACTTATAACCTACCCTCATTAATTTGAATACGTTAGATTCACGTTTTTTGTTATAGGTATTTAGGATGGAATACGTATAGGAATAGAAATTAATTTGTTCAAGCTTGACATTCGTCTTTATTGATTGCAGTAATACAAATTGGAGCATCCAAATATGTGATCGAATAAGTGGGCAGCGGCTTGGCTCTGCCCCTGGCATTGCTGAAGTCCATGGGTGACGGTAACCACTCACCATCAGGTGGGCCGTATGCTCGACTGCCTACAAGGGCAATAAAAAAAAGTAATAAATTGGACGTAAAAAAAAGTAATAATTTACAAAATTAAAGTGAATTCTAAAAAAATTGGACGTGAATTCGGATCGTGAATAATTTCGTAGTGAATTTTTAACATCGTTCATTTTTATTATTACTGATACCTATACCAGTTTTTGTACCAAACATTTCTAGATTTAAAACTAAATGAATAATTATAGGTGGATAGTTCTATAAAAAAAATCTGCACAACTTATGCCTTGGATATTATGATTGGATATCCGAATTAGTCCCTTCCCTATTGTGAATGCATAATGTCAGCATGTTTAAACACGACCGGTCTAGGGCATGCTGCTTGACAACGTGATCTGTACAGGACCTAGGTAGAGGACCTACACAGTGTCCATTCACTAACGTTCATTGAAGCTTTCTACGACCACAGAGCATAGAAATAATAGACGTGACACGAAAAAAAAATCTGAGTTGAAATTAGAAACTACATCTTGTAACATCTGCGGATATAAATACTGCAGCGGGATGAAACACAATTTGTCATTTTTTATGTGATGTAATGATGTTTGGAAAAGGTATCAGATCAAAGCGTCACTTTACAATCTTGGTCTGTAACTATCCTTAATCTACAGACGCACTTCTGCAACAGTTTCGTTGGTAATGTTACGAAAAGATATATCCAGAAAACAAGAGTATTATGAAATCGATTACTAATTAATCAAACAAATATTAACAACAAATTAGTTAGTTAGTTTTTATTACTATGAACTTAGTTATTTTGTTCGAGAAAATGGCTCAATATGGCCAAGTAAGACCTGGGTTCATTCAATTACTGGACCCTGTAAGAATCATAAAGTAAGCATCCCCACCCGATTTGAGATATGAGGCCAGATTGGGCACGACGGTGGTATCAATCCGTGCGGACTCACGTTACGTCAATGATTACCTGGAAAGTGATTTCTAAAAGCATTTATTCAGATAAGTCTTAATAGAAATAATACTCTGTATTTCCGAAGCTAATAATCGTAAAACAAACAAATAAATGGTTTTAAAATGGAAACTCTAAAACGCTTGGGGTCAATTGGGGTCTATTCGTATTTAATTTTTTCGTGTCGTTTGTTTTAGATTTGATTAGAAGTTAGACTATTGCTATTAGAGGTTAATGATATTGCAATTTAAATAATTCTTCGTGGCCTAAAGTACCTACATATGTATATGTCACCCGGTTTACTTGTATCAAGCAATACGACTGTGCCTACGGTCAAATCCCGGAGGAGGCTATCAATTTTTCCAATGTGATACGTACTTATGTGAACAAATTACTTCCAAGACGAAGGAATAATATCGTGTAAAAAATTCTAAGCAGCAGATTTTATCATTTGCGTATTAACTCTACGATTATTGTATGGTACGATGGTGTCGGCATTCACTTATGTTTATAAGATTCGGTGACCATTTCACACCAGGAGAGCAGTGAGGTCTTTCGTCCCTCTACGTAATAACAAATTAAAAACAGGACGTAAGCACATTATCAGCACATTTTTTTACTGAGCTGGCTTATCTTAAAATACAAAAATACAGTATTGAACTCCTTCACACAAACTAGCTATTTGTTAATTAAATCCTGTAGCGTTTCAAATCCTTTGCCTCTTAGC